AGTGTTTAGGGGGAGAAATTTGGACCCCCCCCCCCTCGCCCCCAACAGACCGTGGCAGAAGGGCTTTGGATCCATCACAGACCGTGACAGAAGGGCTTTGGACCCATCACAGACCGTGACAGACGGGCTTTGGACCCATCACAGACCGTGACAGACGGGCTTTAGACCCATCACAGACCGTGACAGACGGGCTTTAGATCTAAATCATCAGGTAAACGGTTCGCTACAAATGGCTTGCAAAGGAATGGAACAAAACGATTTTCATTTAATTAGTAGCAGCAGATCCATCGTGTTTCACATTTTTAATCCCACAAGGGATTGCGCTAACAGCTTTATACTAAACTTGTTTTAATAGAGAAAGAAAATTGAAACATATCTAAAGACTCTTCGAATGAGTACTTCATTCAAGTTTCAGTTGTCGATATGGACAATCAATGGGAGGAGAGGATTAATGATATGCCAAAGAATATTCATGCAATTTAATGGTCAAAACCTGTATCAAGCAAATGAGAATTGATTGCGAAAGAAAACTATATAAATAAGATGAATTTTAAATTTCCACTAACCTATGATAATCTCAGTATACTTCGAATGATTATGCTTTACCATCAATTGTGGTACCCTCAATATATCCTTGAATTCAATTCACATTTGTGGATAATGAAATCGAAAAAGTGAAAAGCGGTAACCATGGAGGGATTTTTTTTACGAATTTCTTATTGAGTCGTTTTTAAACACTAAAGGTATTATCATTAGAACTATAAGAAGTGTCAGCCAAGGAATGAAACTGTTCGATTATTCAATTCTTTATGAATACTATGGATCTGGTCACCAGGTCTTCCGAAAAAAACATGAAGCTAAGCATCAGATACTTTCAAGGAAAACGTAACTGAAAACAAGAGCATTCGGAAGAATAGCGAGCCACTCATGGAATATTTTCGACAAATATCCAACTGCTCATTTTGAGCGTGTGGCATGTATTGCTTGTTCGTCTGATTGATAGTTTCATAACGTACAAAATGAGTGAAATCTTTTGTGCATCCTACTGCATTATAAGATGATCATAAAAAGAAGGTTGTGATCGATACAGTAGCAATAAAAGATGACACGTTATATTTAGTTTTGAAAACTGACTACTTGTTGACTAACGGTGTGAAAAGTCCGTGTACCATAAGATTAGGTATTAAATGATAAGGATAATCATTTTTATCACCATACGACTTGTAGCATTTTTTGTGTTTTAAAGAATGACCTTTTTATGCTAGTCGCACAACTGTCATTTAGCTTCAAAAAGTACTTGTAAACCTTTACACTTCTTGTTAATTGAAAAATTCAGTAATTTATGGCATGGACAACATTTTTAAAAAAATCAAAAATTCTGTGTGTATTTTTTAATGGGTAAGACTGTTGCAGCATGAGATGATTTACGAAGACTAATTATCGAAAACAAAATATTCTGTTACCAAACGTCAAGAAATGTTGCATTAAAATCTAAAATACATTTTAGTCACCAGATTTATTGCAACATTCCTCCCAAGTTCAAAATATTGATTCTAGATAATTGGATATCGTAAGTGAAGGAGAATGACTCGCAATGCAGTGTGCTTGATGTATTGTACTTTAGTGACAAAAAAATCCCTACATAGCTACTAGTTTTCCCTTTTTTGATTTCATTCTCCACAAAGGTGGATTGAATTTAGGGATGCATTCAGAATACCACAATTTGGGGTAAAGGATAATCTACCGTATCCTTCTCATCCTTATCTCCACAGATCGTGCCCAGGTTATGTAGCAGAAGTTATGAGAAAAATCCATATAACTTGTTCAAATCAATTTGATTTTGTTCAGTATTTTATTTTCTAGCGTATGATATGTAAGTTAACTATACAATCATCTAAAATTTCTAGCTAATCGATGAAAATAGCTTCCGTGGCTATATCTCAATCATTTTGTGTTAGAATAGAGCTGAAAATGCCAAACAAAATTTTGCAATTTTCCTATTAACCTGTGAACCCTATATCTCTTGGAGAATACATTTTTTTAAATAATAACTATAACTCATCAAGCCCTTTAAGATGAAGTATCATTCGATCGATTTAAAGATATTGGTGTTTTTTTCCTAGAAGAAATTCTATGGAATACACAATGAATATATATATATATATATTGTTTTCCTCACACGTGGATGTCTCTGTAGTCGTCGTGCTTGTTGTAGTTGTTGTTGTTGAAGATGTTGTTGTGCTAGTTGTACTTGTCGTCGTAGCTATTAAATAAAAGAAAAATGCCAATAGACCAAAATATGAAAGATTCAAAATCATATTTATTTCTACTTGAACTTGTTGATGTTGACGTTGTCACTTGAAATTTCAGAAGAGTATTATTTTAATCAATTTTCATTTAAACTAAATATTTTCAGTTTACCTGTTGTTTTAGTTGTCTTTGTGATTGGTCTTAATACTACAAAATCGAAAAAATAAATCGACATCTTTTTTAAAAATAAATGTAAAAAGGAAATAGAAGAGAAGCTATAACAATACTCTTGCTGATCATGTTTATTTAAGTTTTTAAATATTTCAATCCTATTTCTTGGCTTAAACGAAACGATCTTATCCAGGCGATAAGGATTTAGATAAATAACACATAATTAAAAACAAACTATAAGAATCAAAGTTTGAATAGATAGCATGCTTAAGAACTATTTAGTCTCGATGATTTATCATTTAATTAACAATGCTTGGAAATTTTCAATATTTTGGTTACTTTTGAATAGTTTATTATTAAATCGATAATATGAAAAGAAATGAAGTGTGTTGGTTTTTTTGTGACAAAATTCAAAGTTTTTTAGATAAACATAAAATATCTATTTATCTTCGTTGACGTATATGTTGAACAAGATAGATATTAGCGAGTTTAAAAACAATCATTCGAGTCAATTTGATTTTAAGAAATTTCAATAATTGAATTTAAAGTGTGTAAGTATTTGATAATAAATTTTGCAACCGATGAACGAAAATATTCGTAGAATTTTATATTATGAATGGTAAAATAAAATGCTTTGAAAAAATGCATCACTTTACGTTTTCTTACTATTAAGATGATTGAAAAATAACGTTCTATAAATAAAATATCACTTTTTTAATATTTATAATTAAGTCATTGAATAAAAATTGATAGTCTACAACCAAATTTCTGACTCGAAAAATTTAGTTCAAGAAAATCTTTTATAAAATTTTATCTCTATTTCTTTTTCTAAAAAATCTTCAAAGAATGATCAATTTTGTTCATTTCATGTACGTAGTAACTTATACCAATCGATCATAATAGTTCTTTATAACAGAATACATTTGAATTCATCTCTTTTGTTTTAATATTGAAAATATAAGCTTACAGGAAGGAAACTATTTAATACATACTCAAAAGAATGATTGCTGCTAGAAGTGCTGCTAGAAGTATAGAGCAGAATAAAGTCATTGCAGTGCAACAACAGCATTGACTTGTGAAATATGCTCCACGTCTTCTAAAGAATAAAAGATCGAGATTACAATTAGAGAAATTTTCATCAGAAAAATAATTGCCTCCTTTTCTTTTTATCATTTACTCCAAGAATCCAGTAGAAAGTAAATAAACGAGGTTCCTCATCTCTTATAATAACATCTTCGTCCCTAGGTAAAATTGTTCTTGTACTCGAAATCGAAGTTGAGAGATCATGTTGTGGTATGTAGAATAAATCGTTTAACTAAAAAATAAAAATAACAAATGGTACATAAATGAAATATTATAATGAAAATCATTTTTCATTTTTAATCGAAAAGAGCAGCGATAAATTAACTACTCAATTTAGTCGTAAATCTTCAAAGTCCAATCAGCAAACAATTTCATATTCATATTTCAATTGTAAAAGCAGATGAATTTTAAAAAAATCATAAAAATATATATAAAGCCTGAGTGATATAACATGTCGAACACTTTCTGAATAACTTCGAATCTATATATTTTGATTAACTTATCATTAGATAAAAAATAGTTCAAAAAAAATATTCAGATTCATTCAATCATCATCGAGTGGATTGATCACTCAATTATGACTTGTTAAAGATGTTGTGTAAGCTACTAATCATAGAAAGATCAATGAGATACAACAGGTACTCGATGAACATTATGTCATACTAAAAAATTGGATATAGTAGCATTCAAGTTAGATAATTTTTATGAAAAAAAAATTTCATTTAATCTGTTTGAAAATTCGTATAAGACCATTTATAGTAATTAGAATATCTTAAGAACTATATGGCTCAACTTAATAGAAGTTTATAAAAGCTCATAGTTATTCGTCTGATTCTGTAAATGTGTCGTAAATCAAAAATTTACACTTAAGATATTGTGTAATGATAATGACATAAAATCGTACAAGCAAAAAAAGTCATAGTTTCACAAAATCCAACAACCAATAGTCTTAGAAGAGTCTGCGAAGATCTTACCACCATATAACACTCCGTATAACCTTTAAGTGATATATTACGATGTAGAAAGATGTTTCAAGAATCTTTTTACATGGCTCAGTCTAAGATTTATGAGAAAATGATCTTTCATCTGATTTTAGAGGAATATAGGGGACCTTTTGTATTATTTTTTTTCCATCTAATTTCTAGGTCTACACCCAGCATTTGTGATTCTTTAAACTACTTTTTGGCAATATTTTAATTAGATTCTACCAAGCTCTGTTCAGTCCTCATAGAGACACAGTCAGTCTTGATGAAATCTAATTAGAGGTGTACAAAATTACTGTGCCATATTCTCCTATGTGAGATTAGATACAGATATGTTTCTCAGACAGAATGCAGAATCTCAAAACACGCTTATTCTATATCTCTTTAGATTCGAAAAAAACTTAAGTAGTGGAATTACTTCCTTACATTTCATACAACTTGTGATCATAAAAATATTGTAATGACTTAGACGAATGAAATCTAGTATAAAAGGTAGAGAAATATACATAGGAGAGTCATTCATCTAATTGCATATACAGTGATTGCCAAAATTATCCAAGCAGCTTTATTTTCGGTTTTTTCCCGTTGTCTTGAACGCTACAAAGAATCCAAATAGTGACTTGTTTAAGGAAAATTGTTTCCTACAAGGATAAGAAGAAATAAAAATAATTCCTTAATTCCTAAATTCAGGGTTTCCAGAAAACCAAAAATCTGATTTTTCAACATCTGAAACTGGCACATATAATTTTATTAAAACTACACATAAAGATAGAGCAAATAATTCTCTGCAAAATGAAACGTTTCAGAACTATCTGTGACCTTTTTTGACCGAGATATATCAATTTCAGAGAAGCCCTAAAAATCTTTTTTTGCGATTTCCTATAGAAAAAAGTATTTTAAAACCTTCCCTAAAATTCATGTATCTCGATCAAAAAAAGTCATAGAGAGTTTTAGAACATCGCATTTTGTAGAGAATTCTTTGCTCTATATTTATGTGTAGTTTTAATATAGCTATATTTGCCGGTTCTAGATATTGAAAAATCGGGGTTTTGGTCTTCTGGAAACCCTGAATTTAGAAACCAAGGCATTTTTTAAAATTTCTTATTATCCTTGAAGGAAAAATTGTCCCGATACAAATCATTATTTGGATTCTTTCTAGCGTTCAAGACAACGGAAAAAATCTGAAAATAAAGCTGCTTGGATAATTTTGACACTCACTGTATATGTCGCACGTGAAATTAAAATTCAGGGAAATTTTAAATTTTACAAATACAAAAATTAAGCTGAACGTTAGACTATATTCTCGTTCTTTTATAAATGACATTCAGTACCATAGTGTATTTATGCCGCTTGTCCAAGGCATTTCTTGTTGAACAGGTTCCATTACAGTTATATTAGTTAACCCTGCACTGAAATAAGATTTACATTCTTCAATAAATGTCGTGGTAGATAAAATTGTTCAATCGACATCACCTAACTTATGAAAGCTACAGTTGGATAAATTAACCAGACGCAACGCTTAGAAAGGTGAGAAGATTGCAGTTGTCGCTATGAATGTGAGTGTGTGCTTCTTTTTCTATCATGCAGAGCCACACTCGTACCTTCTGCTCTTCATCAGCTCTAGTAAGTATGACAGATATTTTAATTTTTCCTATAGGAAAAAATAAAACATGACGTTGATGCTACATAGTCAGGAAATTTTAAAAATTTTCTAGAATTTTAATTTCTTCTGCGACATGTACGTATATGAGTTTTACGAGTCGTCAATAAAAAATAGCATATTTTTTTGATTCATTTTACATTTTTATAAGATATCCTATATTATTGTTCTTATTTTTTCCATTCAAATTGTTCTATGATATCAAAAATAAGTCGTTCATACTCAAGAAACTTAATTTTTTTACTTTATTTGGTGCACTCCGTATTTCATCCGGTGCTGATATTTGACTTCTATAATGATCGTTGAATGGTATATGTATTTGCTTCACGTAAGTTGGTGTTCGAATTATTCTTTGTACACGAACAGATGAGGGAAATCTTTTCTCTTCGCTCAAAGATTGACTTCGTGCTTTCACATATTCTGTCGGAGATATTATCTTATCGAAATAATTTGGTAATGGATTTCTTTGATCACTTTTAATCGAGCACTGAATTAAATTTTTCTTCTTGCTTAGGGATGAATGTGTGATTTGTAAATCAAACGGCAAATATGTTGTCTGAGTTAGATCATTTGATGGAAGACTTGCATTGCTTTTATTAGCCGATGGTCGATTAATCCTTTGTATGTGAACTGATGAATATCTTCTAGATCTGAGATTTATTGATGGATCGTTTTCCATATCCTTATTGTTCAAGTTTTGATTTTTCGGTTGTTCTTGGATGGATTTATTGCTCGTAGTTAATAATTCATGCTATAATGATAAAAAATTTTTACGAGATTATTCTATAGATATGAATGATTACATACTGATGTTGATAGTTTATGGATACGTGTTACTTTTATTTTATGTCCTGGTGATGTCATTGATTAATTATGGACTCACTTGTTACCTAAACAATTTTTCAATAATGAAATATAGCAAGATTATTTTTGTTCGTGAACGAATCTCTCTCTCTCTCTCTCTGTGATTGAGACGTGAGTCTCATAACAATGACGGTATTATAGACTTACATTTATCTGAGTTTCAACTCTAAGATTAAGTCCCAATCAAATCCATCGGTATTTTAGTATAGAAAATGCATCTCTATGTTATTAATCTATCGATTATATTGAGAAAATTTTTGAAACTGCGATGGCAATTAAGTCTATTGATTATATCTAAGTGGTTCTTAGTAATATCTCTAGTATGATATTAATTAGAATTGTGAGAGGAGCAATGCATCTCAAAGATTAAACTACTACGATGATATTCCCACAGGTATCATTGTTTATGAAAGCAAATGTTTACAACATGTACAGCAGCACATCTTTTAGACCATGTATCATAAAATAAAGGCTTGGAAGTATTGAACTAATAAATTATCGAAATTGAAGCTCTATCCATAACTTGACAATCAGAAGTTAAAGTCTGTGCCAATGAAAAGTTTTCTTTTTTGAAATTGTGAGTTGATTTCTGTTGATCAATTTTCATTGGTGGTTCAAGATGGAGATACCTATATATATATATATATATATATCCGAAGTCTTGTATCGAATTATACTTTCTAGCCTACTCTTATCTTTCTATTGGCAAATGGTATTCCTTAGAGAATTGAGAAAATTTTATTCGTATCTTTTACAAAAATAATAATATCAAATAGGAATAGATAAATAAATATAAATGACATTCAACATTAGTTCTTTTCCAACACTAGATAAATTAAATTTCACGAGATCTTCAACTATTAGCATATATGGACCTTGAGAAAGCTAACATATAGTTGAAGAACCGTGATAGTAAACAATATCTCAAAGAAAGTGCATACTTGCTGAATTATAGATTTTTTTATTTGAATCTTGTATTTCAACTGATCAATATGTCGTTAACTCAGTTAAGATTTTAATTTCGTTGATGCGATCCAATCCACAACTTTTGACTTTCAAATATGTTTTAACTTGGTTGATTTTATTGTATGCAAATACACTTCTGTTGATGAAAACCCATAAAAAAAAGAAAATGAATATATAATCTAAAAAAAAGAAATCTATAATCAATTCGAAATGCGACATTGAAATCATTCTGATTGAATTTTGTTTGTAGTTTTTTTTTGTTTAGATTTAGAACTTAAGTTGAAATTTCTCTTTGATTTTAAACAAGTCTTTACACATAATTGCAGATTCGATAGTATCTTGGGATTGAAACTCCATATTCAATGAGATTTATTAGAATATTTTGATAAGTTAATTTTGAATAATTCAGATAAAGAAAAACGGTTAAACAGATATTTCACATTGAATTTTCAACCAAAACAGTTTTTAGATACGAGTGGGATTTATAATGTTTTCTTCTTTAAAATATCTTCGAGAGAGCACGGAAAAATTCCATAAAACAAGAAGTCATATAAAACACAATCTTCTATTTCATTTCATTGATTTCTGTTCTTTATTGATATCGTAAAATGACACATAACGAGTGCACTATAATAGTCAGATATTTCTTTTTTGTTTGAAAGATCATCAAAAACTGCAGTGCCTATGAGAACCTTTTTTTGATAAAGCTTTGCTATTTATATATTGATAAATAAATAATTTTATTATACGAGCGCCATTTTTCGAGTGGTTTTTGAGTGATTGAATTTGTGAAGCCTTTTATTCTTCATAAAGATAAGAATTTTAAAAAAAAGCCCTCATAGGCACTGCATCCTGACATACTCTTTCATATGAAAAAAACAATCGAACATATTCATTGAGCATTCATAGAGAATTTTCGGAGACGTGATAAGCTATTTTTCGACCCTTGTTTGGTTCGTATCTATCTCAGGCATCAGGACAAAAGGCTGAAAATTTTATCACAGACATAGTTTTACACCCCCAACATATCTTTAAAGTTTCATGCTGTTTCAATGTTCTGGAACTAAAATCAAATTTTGAGGGAGGCGGGCTTAACAAGGTTTGTAAATCGTTAAGCAAAACAACGAAATTTTTGAAGATTTGGATGATCTAGGGCTATACCAATTTTCATTCTTGGAATGAGTCGAAATTAGTGTAAAATTGGGATCGCTTTGAAAGATTTCTGTCTAGTATAAACACTCGCACGGTTCTCTATGCGCCACAATAAAAGCATCTTCGAATATCAGAAGAAAAATATTTTCGCAAATTCCCCCTGGGGGATGTGCAAAAAACTTTTTTTCTTCATTCTCCATTTCGATTTTGGTTGCTTTTCTATTACATCCGGAAACTTATAGCGATGAGACTGGGCTTCTATTCTGTGGAGAGGTTTACACCCTATTCATCAAGTTTTATGTCGAAAATGAATACTTTTGTTGGAAATTTTTAGTAAGCGAATGAGCCCAACAAACACTAGAGCACGGAACATGTTCGAACTATCACAATTTTCGTTATCTACCCAAGATTATCAAGTTATACTTGAAGCATACGAAAATATTACAAAATATTTTTCTGATCTGATGGACTATAAACGGTCGAGCTTATACTTAATATAACTATTTGTTTATGAGATATCTTCACTATTCACTTGATATGAAGTTCGACCAATTATCATTACCTTATTCATTTGTGTAACCACGATATACTATTTATTTTCCAACATTTATTTATCTAAATCTTTAAAGACTAAACTGAAGACTTGGAGTGACCTATTTAATATCAATAGATGGGTGACATCTATTACTATTCTTAAAGAACTTCGAAACATGCTGCTTTAAAAATTTATATTTACTCTATAACCAATTTCTTCATTGTAACACTCAGTATGGAATCTAATATATGGACACAATAGTGCAAACATTTTATTTTATTTTTTATGAAAAAAAGGAATAATCAGATAAGTCTTCTAGAAAAGAACTTTTTTCCGGCGTTTTTGACAGTTCTAAATCGAAACAGTTTCTTTGAAAAGTCGAATCCTACCAGATGTTTTACGAGGCAGCTGAAATTTGAAAATATCTCTTTATATTTTCAGCTTCTATTCTAACGAATTAGTTCAATCATTCTGTAAGTGATTATTATCTAAGCATGTTACCAATAACTATAATTAATTCGAAAAAGAAATTCGATAGTTTTTTTTTAGAACTTAACAAAATTTTTGTCATCTACTACAGTGAGTATACCTAAAATATATTTTGATGTTGACCATCACATGCATCTTTTCTTAAAAGCAATATTGATTTATGCACATATGATTACATGAAATTTTCGATCTAAGAGTGGTGTAATGAAATAAGATATTCGACAGAGAGCCCGAAAAAAAATGAATTAACAACTTGAAAGTCTTTGAAGGTTTTCATTGAAAGAATTTATTAACTTTTATGTTTTTTCAAATAATCTCCAAATTTTGAGCATCATAGGTACTTTTTTTTGTATTTTTAGCTCGAAAATTTTTGTAAGTTTTTAAATCTACTAGCTTTTCTTCTTCTTAACGCAAAAAAATATTAAAAAATTTGCCTCTAAATAAACGTAAATGTATGACCTTATTTCAAAGCAAAAAAATAAAATACATAAATAGAATGAAGGTCTTCGACGAATTTTGACTCGTTAAGTCAACTTTTCTTGATCCTACTTGGTGATTATCGCCCTTGAACATCGCAGTATTAAATTAAAAGTTTCATGAAAATCTTTACACTACCATTTGGACATATATTAAATATTTAATACAATTTACCTATATGTATCAGGAATTGTTTTGATGAAAGATTGCCAGTGAACTGAAGCATCTTAGTACTATTAGATCTAAGTCGAATAAAAACTTCTAATACATAGAAAATCCCAGTAAAAGTTACTGTGGTGTGATCCATATCATTGTGAGGCAATCGGTGTCAGAACTTACGCTGAATAAAATCA